GAAATAGTGATCAGAAATGGTTGGGAATTTTTTACTGGCATAACTTGGGCATGATAAACTCAATGTTGTCATCTATATACCATTTTGTCGCTTCGTTTGACTTCCAGGTGAGATAAACGAAACAGTGCCTCCAGGCACTCATATCGGTTAAAGCAAAATATATGAACAGATAGAAATTTTATTAAGTACCAACGGTTTTATTCCAAAAAGTTTAGCAGTGCAAAGGAATCTAGAAAAATGTTTTACTTTTTTGAGTGCTATTCCAAAAAGCAATTTTTTGTCGCAGATCAAAAAATATAAATTGCATACTTCGCAAATACATTGAGTTTGCGACTTTTTACAAAATTTCCACCATTCTTTCCACTTTCTCGAGCCATTTAGGAAGTTGATTGTTGCCATTGAAACGAACGTCATCAACATGATATACAGATTTTCTGCCAACACTCAGAGCAGCAGGTTGCGATTCATCTTGTGGAGTAGAAGGTTGACTTGTTGAAGATGGGCCACCAACCGAACGCGTTTGAGTGTAGCTCACAAGACCAGCATAACGGATAAAAAAGGCGGTCATTGCGTCCATCCCCATCTCGGAACGACGGGAATCTTTTTATGACTTCAAACCGTTTCAATGGCATCGTTTTGCGAATGGGTTCGAATGCATTCTTCATTAACTACCTCTCTAAATTCGGGGAGCGATAAACCGACATGTATAAATGAATGCCAATGTACTGGCAGATATCATCGACATTCACATTGAATCTCAAGTTTATATCCTGATTAAGTTAGAGCATACCGCTTCGTCTCTTAAACAATCATTTCAATTATTTCTTTAGGGAAAAATATATAGATATTATTGCACCGGTCTTGAGAGCATTTTTGTGTGCTCAGGTAAGCCACGAAATGCCACCTCATTTATATGAAGTTTAAGGTTTGTTTTCCAGATGACTTTGCTGAGTTCAGCAGAATCTCTGTTTATTGATTCAATGTCAGCAATAAAAAATCCATACGATCAGTACGTAAAATCAATTTTCCAAAGATGTGAGAGAAACTCTTACTTCCAATCAAACCACCATTGGTTGGTACAACTGCTGGACCTTTAGCTTCGGCTATACTACTACTTAGTCTCCACAGAATCCATAAATTCAAGAATTTCTTCGGCTGATAACTTCGACAATTTCTCACGCGTCATCATGTAACGATTTGCATATACTATTATTTAGACACTTTATGAAAAACAGGTGAACAATTTATAAAAAGTATTTGCCTTACCGGTAAAAATCACCATAACTAAAACGCAAAGGCAAAATGCGACGCGTAAAAAAAATCGCGCCGAACGACAAGAGTGCCTTGAGGCACACTTAGATTTTTTGCTATAGAACATAAAATCCAACTATTTTCAACACCGTAGATATAAAATCGTGAAGCTTATGACTAAAACTTTACGGGAATAAAATTCTTGAGTTAAAAGAACTTTACCAAAATAAAAGTTTTCGATGCTGAAAATCAGAAATTTTTTAATACGAAAGACCGACCTTCTCCTCCACCTGTTCGCAAAAAACGGATTACAGAGGACTAACGGCCTGTCGGATTACATTCTAATTTGAGAAAGAAATGTCAGCAAACATATGATCAAGAGCGTTGAACTCACTTGCGTAATGAAAAATTACATTTTCATATGCAAAAGGTGATTTTTGTGATCCTTGCCTTGAGGCACTCTTACCGGTTAGAGGGTTAATCCACCTAATATTAATAATGGATCAAGATTTGTAGGACAAGTGATGATCAATATATATTAGTTAAAGTACGATAAAGCTAAAAGTATGGCTCATAAGGATGCTTTAATGTAAATAAGGAAAGGAGTTTGTCTCCTTTAAGATATGCTGAACTGAATTTGTATTACTGTTTTATATTTTGATTTGTTTACCCCGAACAACGTCGGATGCTCTGCTAGTCTATATATATAATAAATATAGTTTAAAAAACTAAAAAACACGCTTTTAAAGCATATCAAACTAAAAAGTAAAAAATAATTCTTAATATAAGTTGAAAATAATAATGAACAAAAAATACTAGTATTATTGTGAAAAATCGTGGGGCGCTCTTTGCCATATTTTTCGTCTATCGAGCAACCCACACTTTTTCACAATAAGACTAGTATTTTTTGTTCATTATTATTTTCAACTTATATTAAGAATTATTTTTTACTTTTTAGTATGATATGCTTTAAAAGCGTGTTTTTTAGGTTTTTTAAACTATATTTATTTTTAATTTTTTTAGTTCGATTTATTGTTAAAAATAAAATTTTTTCTAACTGCTCGAGTGCTCGAGCCGGAAAGTAAGTAGACGGTACGCATGCGCAGACAGCGCGGCTTTCTTACTTGCTCTCACACAGAGGTTGTTTGAGGAAATTATTTAATCCTGGCGATCCTAATCAGGATAATGAGATAAATTTATGAAATTATTATATTGTCGCTGATTCTTGATAAGTGTACAAAGTTTGAATTAAATCTGTCCGTTTAAAGTGGGTCAAAACCGAGTCCAAAGGAGTCGGTTACAAACATACAGACATACAAACACACAGATGATGCTAATAAAAGGGTGTTAAAAATGAAATGTTTTCCGTATGACGGCGATGCCTGACCAAACGGCTGAACCGATTTAAATTCCGTAAAAAGTACTTTTTTGGACCTTCTGTGTGGAAGGTTTTTCGATATAAAAAAACTTGAAACTTTTTGTTTTTGTTGCTGAAAAATGAAGAATGCTGAGACATCACGATTTCACAATTTCATAGAGTTTTCCGTATATTATATGTCACAAATTTACCAAACGCCTGAAACGATTTCGTTCATACTGGGTGGCGCCGAATGAGCTATATGGTTTGAATTCTTTATAACTTTTTTAATTATTATTTTTTCATTTTTTTTTCGGAAATCTGGGAAGAAGACTGGGGGAATTAATTATGAATCATTACACGACCGAACAACGTGCACAAATAATTGAATTTTATTTTTTAAACCAACGGTCTATTGTGTTGACACAGCGTGCATATCGTCATAATATTAATGTGCGCATTGCACCCACAGCGTCAGCAATAAACCATTTGATTGGATATTTTCGTCAACATGGGTCTGTAAGAACCCTTCCTGGAGCCGGAAGAATACCTATCGTGCACACTGCCCGAAATATTGAACGTGTATGGGAGGGCGTGCAGCGTAGTCCATCAACATCAACAAGGAGACGTTCGACACAACTTGGACTATCACGGCGGTCGCTGCAGAGAATTTTGATGACATTATACTTGTTCCTATATAAAGTTCAACTTGTGGAAGAGTTAAAGACGACAGACTACCAGCAACTGCTTGAATATGCCATTCGTTTCCGTGAAAAAGCGCAGGAAAATCCAGACTTTATTCACAATTCGGTAATGAGCGATGAAGCCCAT